GGTTGTCTAGAACTGCCCAGATTTAGAGGTCCTAAAATACCTCCAGGGCCACGAGGAAGGGATGGGTAGTGCACACATAGGATATTGTCAAGGTTACTAGAACGCTTTAGGCTATGACCAAGAGGTGGGACTTGGGTAGAACGGGATATGATGACTACGCGCTAATATCACGTGTAGCCCCTCATTGAGGAGTGTTTTCTGGACATTGCGTGAGGTGATCCTATAGGCTAACCAACCTAGGACCCCTCCTTCCCAAATTCCCTTTGCTTCAACTTTACTTTCCTATATGTACACAATTTGTTCAAGTCTTTCCTTCGTCTCATTGTTTGAGTCATGTAATGTCCAAACCTGCTCTTATTTGTAATTATGTGTTAAAAGACTAGTTCATAAGTATAAGTTTGGCCGGGATCCACCGTTGTGGATCGAGAGGGGTGCCTAACACCTTCCCCTCAAGGTTATTTCGAGCCCTTACCCTGAATCTCTGGTAATGCAAACCAATCCAAGAGTTAATCGCTCTAAGTGCCCTAATGCACCATAATCCGTTAGGTGGCGACTCTTTAAATACCCAAATCCCAAAAGGAAATGAGTTATTACCCCCATAAATGTCAAAATTCGGACTTCTCTCCACGGAGGGAAAAAAAGGGGCGCGACACCGTTATTTGGTTATGCTTATTAAGTGCCTTGAATAGAGAGGAGGTTGAGGATTTCAAGATTTTAAAAGTTACTAGTTGAATTTCTTGTGTTATAAAGGATTGGGGGATATTATGATAACTTGAATAATCTATGTTCAACCGCGTCGCAAGTATATTCCGCGAGTGAGGTAAACTTCCACCTCTCATGGGAGCGGGTCGTTCACCTCGACAGGTTAATAGATGCATCTATGGTTCGTGTTGTTCGACCCTCGGCAGTGCACACAGTATATGTGTGTCTATATTTGGATCGGGTCGTACGTCCTCGGCATAATTCGTGCATAATAATATTGGAAGCCCTATTATATTTGATATTGTTTTATTGACTTGAGAGGTTAAATGGTTAAATGAGGGAAATGATTTGGTTCNTATATATATCATATTTAACTAGAATTTTTCATGTTATCATATTGTTGGCCCATAGCAAGTGTTGAAGTCGACCCTCGTCACTACTTCTTCGAGGTTAGACTAGATACTTACTAGGTACATGTTGTTTATGTACCCACGCTACACTTATGCACTTAATGTGCAGGATCTGAGGCAGGTGCATCTAGATATCAGTCCGGCGCGCACACTTGATTACCACTTCGAGACTTCACGGTGAGCTGCCTTCCGAGTCATTCTGCAGCAATCGGAGTCTTCCTTTTGCTTATTTCCTGTTTGTTTCAGACAGTAAAGTAGCATTTGTTGTATATTTTACTAGTTGCTCATACACTTGTGACATCAGGTCTTGGCACACATTAGTTGACTTATGATTTTGGTTTGTTTCTATGTTCATGATTGCACTCAGATGCTTTCGTTTTGTTTATTTTAAATTTGCGATCTCTTAAATCTATTAAATTAAGGAAGGCTTAATTACTTGAAAATCTGTTAAAAGGGAAATTACGAGGTTGGTTCACTGTTGGATTGCTTAACGACGGCGTTGGGCGACATCACAGCCTATAATAGAATTGGGTCGTGACACACGTGGTGCCCCAAGAATGCTTTACTGATACCATTTTGACTAAAGATGGATTTTGGCCTATACAATTATGACTTGAGAGTCTCGACCAGGGGCGGACCTACGTTAAGGGTACGGGGGTCATCGGAACCCGTTGGCGTCGAAAAAATCAATGTATATATATTTTGTGTATATAGGTTTATATATCAAGGACCCCTTAAATATTTTATTGGTGCTCCCAAAAATCACAAAATGGCTCCATGGTAGAGTTGGTTGAGTGTAGTGCTGAAGCCACCTACCCGCCCCTGTTGGCTTCGGATCGAAACCCAACTTTAGCATTTTAGTAGGTTTTCCTTTCCGTAACTGATTCGGTGATTGTTTTCACTTCGTAGTCAATTGTTTTCTTTTTTTAATTTCATCTTTTTAAAATTCAATTATCATTTAATACTTGTATATATTAATCAACTAAATTAATATTTTTTTTTTCAAGTCCCTCCCTCAAAATCAAAAACTCCAAACTCCTATCTCTGCAAATAAAAAAATTGCAAACCCTTCTCTCTCTTCAACAAGGTAGCAATATCTATTGATTCCGGCAAACGACTACTGAGAATTTTTCTTTGTTATAAGTTATCATAATCGTTAAGTTTTTAAAGAGTTGCACGCCGAAATTTGTCGCCAGTAATTGACGTATTTAAAGACAGTGTGCCCCGTTGCACTTAAATCCTGGGTTCGCCTCTGGTGTCGATGGTCTGCTTGCCTTGAAAAAGACCTAGAAATGGAAGCTCAAGCTGAGAAACGAATCACTAATGTAAAAAAAAAGGTGCAGAAGTCAAACGGAAACAGAGAAATATTTCCCTGGTACTTTTTTCAGCTGACATGAAGATTCTCCCCTTGGGCAGAAAGATATTCCTCAAAAAACATCGTTGCCTGCTCGTAATGAAAGGGAGAAGGAGTCGAGGACGAGGAGGAGTCTGAGTTTGAAACTGATCAAGATGAGGAAGAAGACGAATAGAGGTCTCCACCACATAGAAAGGTTGTGCTGGAGAAGCAGCACTATGAGGAAGAGGCATATGAAAGTCAGAAGAGGAGGCTGAGGTAGGAACTAATCTTCATTGTTCAGTAATATCTCATCTGAACCTTTTTAATCATGTATTGCATTTAATAAATAGGTAATTGTTAAGATGATAAAATCGTACCAGAAAGTTCTCTACACGTTTGATTGGTAGTCCTTATCATGCTAGTTTTAAGCTCTTGTACCAGAACTGCTGTAATTTTTTCAGACACATACACCTTCTCAAATAAATTGGTGTGATTGTGATCAGCCAGATGAATATATGTTTGACTTTGGGTGCCCTTTTCTTTGGCAGCCGTGTCTATGTTCTCTGCTCAGTATACTTTTTGAAGATAGTTTTATGAACATGTTCAGGGTAAGGATTCCTCAAAGATGCTGGAGTTCCTTTTCAAGATCTTGGTCCAATGATAGCTATTAGCTAGAGATGCTCATGAGATTTCCGAGAGTCGAGAGAACAACAACATATCTAGTGTAATCTCACAAATGGGGTCTGGATTGCAGATCAATTCATGTGTCCCTATCCTTTAACTTTTGTGCAGGAAATTGGTGGCACAACAAGCTGTCAACTGCTATATCTGGTAATTTTGTGTTGGCTGTGCCATAAATCGTAAACAAGATTGTAAAAAGTGTAAATCTTTTTATGGCGTATCTAGTTAAATATATGGGATCCTGACAACAACTACAGCTCCACCAGATTGTGTTTCGAAAAAGATAAATACCTTATCTACCTTATTCTTCTAGTTAACATGCATTATGAACTTCCTACGAACATGCAATATAAAGTATAATCAAATTCAAACTGCTGCTGTTTGCCTAAACGACTTACTACAAATAATTAAAATATAAGAGTATACGTACTCTGGTCAGATGCTAGTAACTATCCTATTCTTAATTAAATGGAATTAACATGCATTAATTAAGTCCCTCTAGGTCTTATATGACAAATTTAGTATTCATATCACTTTAAATGACAATTAGTAATTTCAAAATTTAATGCTATAATAGAAAAGAGGTAAGAGGGGGAGAGTGCTTCAGTTACAAAATCGATTTATTTCATTTATTATCTTGACTTTAAAAAGCTAGGACACTTGTCTCATGCAAAATAGACTTGTTTTCAAAGTCTTTAATAAGTACTCCCTCCGGTCCAAAATAAGTGATTTTTTGGTTGTTTTCACACCTATTAAGAAATTCACCTTTTAACATTAATTAGTAATGAAATTGACCATATTAACATTTATTATCTCTTCACATAAACACTCCTAACACATACTCCAACATTAATTACTCCAAGGGCAATGTAAAAAAAAAATAATTAATTCATTCTTGAAATCTGGAAAAATCACTTATTTTGGACCACAAGAAAAAAGTCAAAAAATCACTTATTTTGGACAAGAGGGAGTACCTTTAAGGACATTCTTGTTGACTATGGTCGTTAGATTTCTTGTGTTTGACCTTTTTACATGGTAAAAAGAAATTAGAGCACTATAATTGTAAAATTCCTAATTGGACATTAGGATAAAATTAAAGCAAAAAAAATTTTTTTTTTTTTTTATCTCTATACAAATGCTATGACCAAAAGTGCCTTTCTTGGAGCATTTTAGCTTATACTTAAAAATAATGTCTTTCATTCTATGCTTATTTTATATAAACACTCAAAAACTACGTATTAAAAATCGATATGGTACTAACTAGATTAATTCTATGATAAAGAAAAATAATTTAGTCATACCTCAAAAGAGGACTCAATGTTTGCACAATCAAATAGCAGAGAAATCTAAGATTATGTCATCAAATTAACAAAATTCAACAAAAAGAGAAATATTATGATTACAAACAACCCCAATTTGGTAAAAACATTTCTCAAGTTTTGACCAAACAATAGTCATTGGATCATCTAGGTTACAAGAGGTCCAGATACATTCACACTGTAATAAATGTCTCTCCCCACTCTTTACTACTACTATTAACATAACATAGAAATATAGCAAAAAGAGAGAAAGAAAATCAGAAATCACCAATTTTTTTCCTTCCTCCTATTTCTTCCTCTCATGTTTTATTCCTTCCCATGGAGTTTAATCAAAGTAGTAAACAAGACTTCTCTATTCAGCCACACAACAATGAAGATATGAATGATGTTTTTTGCACACTCTCTAAAGATTATCTTCAAGATTTTCATCACCTCGATCTTTCCTTTTCTCTTCCAACCTTCAACAACCCTGATCACAATTTCATGATCGAAACGAATGGTTATGACCCGTTATTTGATCCATTCTCGAATATTAAGGATAATTATTCATCAATGGATCAAGATTTCAACTTCAATTATGAGTTTAAGCCATTTGATCAAAATGGTACAAGTGGTAGTACACTAGTCAACTTTAATGTTGTGCCTGATGAAAGTTCATGCATTACTACTGGTGATAATAATGGTAATTATGGTAAAAAAGAAATTGGTGGAAGAAAGAATAAGAAGCTAGTTACAAAGAGCAACGAGAACAGTTTATCTTCTTCATCTATGAGAAAACTAGGAAGGGGTCGAAAGAAGTACTCTAAATCAGCCAAAGGGCAATGGACTATTGAAGAAGACAGGTATTTTAATTTCTTTTGAGGAAAAAAAACCAACGTTATTATTAATATTAAATACTATATACATGATATGTGCACAGGCTTTTGATCCAATCGGTAGAGAAGTTTGGAGTTAGAAAATGGTCTCAAATTGCTCAAACACTGAAAGGGAGAATAGGGAAGCAATGTAGAGAGAGGTGGCACAATCATCTTAGACCTGATATCAAAGTATGATTTTTTACTTCTTCCTTTGGTAGTAATTATTTCTTTCCTTTCTTTTTTTGAGGATCCTCTCATATTAATTAGTTTTATCTATTTGTTAAATGTAAGTTTATCACCTCCCATCTAAAGGGTCTTTTAGCTTTCGTTGACGTCTTTCTTTCTATATCTATCTATATGCATGTGGTAGAATTTCTCATTCAAATGCTTACCACGTGTATCCATAAACTTTGAATTATACGAAAAAATAATTTTTTTTTCAATTAAAAAAAAAAAGTGATATGCTAACTCTAGAAAATGACAAGAATTAGTTACGAAATTCATCGCTAATATATCATTAAATCGATCGTAGCCAACATGATTTTTTATACTCTGTTTTATAATATGCTTTAGAGACTGAATTATGATATTTTTACGAAATCCTTAATGCTAATGTTTCCAACATCTCTCTTTCTAAACTATTGGCTTCTTGATTCAATTGGATGGTATATAATAACTGGTAAAATTATTGTCAAGTGACTAGGAGGTCACGGGTTCGAGTCATGTAAACAGTCTTTTGTAGAAATGCAGGGTGAAGTTGCGTACGATAGGCCTTGTGGTCCGGCCTTCCCTCGAACCCCGCACATAGCGGGAGCTTAGTAACAGGCTATCCTACATTTGATTTGAGTGTAGCTAAAACTTAAATTTCCTTATTTTTGAATTTTAAAGTTCTTTTTATTACAAAAGGAGACAGTGAATTGAACCAATAATATTGTATAGGAGAATTTCACCGGTACCAATAGATTTATTAGAATTTTAATTTATTTTGTAATTGTTTTTGAGCAGAAGGATTTGTGGACAGAGGAGGAAGACAGGATCTTAATCTCAGCTCATGCAGAAGTAGGAAATAAATGGTCCGAAATTGCAAAAAGAATACCTGGAAGAACTGAAAATTCAATTAAAAACCATTGGAATGCAACAAAAAGAAGACAATTTTCAAGACGAAAATGTCGCACCAAATGGCCAAGGCCAAGCTCTCTCCTCCAAAATTATATCAAAAGTTTGAACTTTGAAAAAGGTAGCAACGACACAATCCTTAATAATAATGCACATGAGTTATGTGACAAAGGCAATAATATCCAGCAATTAGTTGCGGATTATGATTTTAGTCAAGTCCCAGAATTTGGTTTGGACGACAAACTGTTTGATGATTTGGAGATTCCTTATAATGAACTGCCCCAATTGATGCAAGCTGGTGAAGTGAACAAGGAGGCTGAATTGATGGATTTGATTTCTTGTGTTAATCATGAGATATAGTAATAGCTTGAAGTATGAAAATGACTGTAGAGATATATAGAGACAAATATTTATAGGTGTTTTTAAATTAAGAATGACTATAGTACTTATGAATATGCATAACAACTGTTTGTTGGAATGTTTTTATGTCTAATTTGTTAATTTGACATCCATTAACGACATGAAATCCCCAAAAAAAAAATGAAGACCTAAGCGTAGCATATGAAAGTTAACGGCTATTCCAACTGCTCCAATTGAGATGACATATTTTGTTTATTAGAAGTCAGTTTGATTAAACTTTGAAATTAAATATGATTAATTTACCTACAACAATAACAATAACAAATCCAATGTAATCTCGTTAGTGGAGTCTGGGGAGAATAGAGTGTACGCAAACCTTACCCCTACGTGAAGTAGGTAGAGAGACTGTTTTCGAAAGACACTCCGCTCAGGAAAGATAGAGAGGAAGCAGTAACAGCAAGCAACAACACCTAGATAAAAAGAATTCAAAATATTTTAAAAAAAATAAATCAATTTGACTAAACTTTGAAGCTAAATTGGATTAATTTAACTAAATATTTTAAAATTAAAATTTATATATTCAAAAATATACGATAAATACTATAAGTTACAATTTTTTTTCCTTTCAATATGATAAAAAGATATATTTTAAGATATTGGTTAAATTTTATATTATTTGACTCTCGTGAAATATGTCATTTAAAAAAATGTAGAAAGTACTTAAGTCCTAATATAGGATTTTGAGGGCAAGGCGAGGCCGAGACTACTTCCAACTAGGGGCATACAAAGAAAACCGGCAAACCGCACAAAACCGATAATTCGAATCAAACCGAGAATATAAATTCGACTATGGTTTGGTTTTGAAAAAAAAAACGACCATAATTAGTTTGGTTTTAACTAAAATAAGTCAAACCGAAACCAAACTAACTCGGCATTACATGTATAAAATTTTTAGATATATTTAATACATAAAAGTACTTATTGTAATGTAATTTATAAATACTTCTTAAATTTTTTCATAATTTTATCTTTAAGATATTATTTCAAGGTTGGATCTAGAACTTTTGAAGGCTCCAATAAATTTTATAGCCCATAAAAGTTAGTAACTCAAATAATGCCAACGATCAACTATAGTAAAAAAATGAAATAGTCATTGAACCGATCCGATTAACCTGTTCGGACTTGACTTGACATTACCGGTTTTGATCGGTCCGGTTAATCGGTACCTAAATTCTACCCGGCACAATCCCTTCCCCGTCCCAAACCAGCCCTGCCCGGCCCCTACCTACTGGTCCGATCTGATCTAAAATCGGTCTGTGTCGGTCCGGAACCGGGTCAATCCGGCCCGTTTCACACCCTTAGAAAGAATGAATTATAATACGTGGATTAGCTTTTAGAATACTAGTAGTAAATCTTTAGAACGCACTTTGTCCATAAGTTGAGTTGGAAGATTCAACCTGCCAAAATCAACACACAATTTTCTATAATTAGTTAATTGTATAAGATAAATAATCATCGCATAAATTAACACAACATTGGATTGTACTTATTAAACTCCACAAATCAAATACTCGCGTAGTTTATGTGAAAATCTATAGGTTATCTTATGTATGATAAATATAAAGTAAGTATAATTAACTAAAAACAAAATTAACAGGCTAATCAATTCATACATTATTTTTCACATAAATAATTACGACATTTTACTCCTTGTATAGCTAATCTTCGAACTAAACCCCCACTAAATTATCATACTTAGAAAATCATGTTAAACGTTAAAATATATGAATATAGAAAAATTTGTGCTGCCCCACTGAATATAATAATTTGCAACACAATGGTCACATCCACCCCCAAAGACGGGGTAGAAGGGGGTGGAGTGGTTGGAAACCAAGGTGAGTAATCTCTGTTCAGTCCCTCTCACTTTCATCACTCTCTGCTTCAATCTTCAGAACAATGGCAACCACAATTTCTATTTCCTATTTTACCCCTACTACCCTTCTCTATTGCCTTCTCTTGTCCACTTCCCATTTCCCCATTTTAGCCATTAACATCACCCATCTCCTATCTTCATACCCTGATCTCTCCGACTTCACTAATCTCCTTTCCACCACCTCCGTCGCCGCCGATCTATATCAGCGCTCCTCCGTCACCATCCTCGCCGTACCTAACACCTTCCTCCGCTCCTCCGATCTGATAAACAACCGTCCTCCGTCGTCATCCTCCGCCAACCTCGGCGATGTCCTCCGTTACCACGTCCTCCTCGAGTACTTCTCTTGGCCGGATCTCCGCCTTATCCCCCCTACCGGAAAACTAATCACAACTCTCTTTCAGACCACAGGACGTGCTCCGGACAACTTCGGGTCCGTTAACATAACCCGTGACCCGAGTTCAAATGCCATCACTATCCACTCATCAAACTCAAACGCTACTATTATCTCTCTCGTAAAAACCCTTCCTTATAACATCTCCATCTTTACTGTTGATTCTGTTTTAATTCCAAATGGATTTAATCTAATGGCATCTGAAACCCGTCCTCCGTTAGGGCTCAATATTACAAAGACACTTATCGACGGTCACAACTTTAACGTCGCAGCGTCAATGCTGACGGCATCAGGAGTAGAACAAGAGTTTGAAGATGACGAAGGTGGTGCAGGAATAACGCTGTTTGTACCGACAGACCAAGCATTTTCGGATCTGAGGTCATCAGTGAGATTCCAATCTCTGCCGGCGGAGAAAAAAGCTGATGTGTTAAGGTTCCACGTTTTGCACTCATATTACCCGCTCGGTTCACTGCAGTCGATAGTGAACCCGGTTCAACCAACGTTAGCGACGGAGCAAAATGGAGCTGGAAGCTTCACGCTTAATATTTCTAGGGTTAATGGGTCGGTGGCTATTGATACTGGGATCGTTCAAGCGTCTGTGACTCGAACGGTGTTTGATCAGAATCCGGTGGCGATATTTGGAGTGTCCACGGTTTTGTTGCCGAGAGAATTTTTTGGTAAGAATCCAATTGAGGTGAATAAGCCAAGTGGTGCATTAGCTGGACCGCCGGAGATTTCTCTTCCGCCGGATAATTCGCCGGATATTGACGGTTCAGCTAGCCACTTGTCTTCACCGCCGGGATTAGGGAATAAAGGTACGTCGGCGGCGGCGAACAGGAAAAGTGTGGTGAGAATATTTTTGGGTTTATGGTGCATAGGATTCTATCTACTGGTAATTAATTAATTCTCAAATCGTGTAATTATTTTTTTCTGCTATTTCCATTTTTCACACGGCAAATTTAATTTTGGATGGTACCAGAAAGAAGCAATTATTCCTGCCAACGTGTTAATTTTGTCTTTATGGAAATGATTTAGGTCAGGCAATACCGATTTTTTGGCCTTTTCCTTTTCCTTTTTTTTAATCTTAATTTATGCTGTTGTAATCTGTAAAGAGCACCGTTTTATTTATTGCAATTGCTAGATGAGTATGTTTATGATTTGTGTGGGGAAAAATGCAAGTTTTGCATAGCTTTTGCATTATAGTTTAGTTTATGCTGATTAGAGAAAAAAAGTTGAGATCTTTTTGCTTTTGTAGATGTGTAAAATATGGAATCAAGCCAACCAATTCTTGGACAGGATATAATGGTTAAAATGTTTATGCAGGTCCCAATTGAGAAAATTCAGTTGAGTTTTTATTTAATGGGAGAAAGAAGAGTCCGAAACTTTTTTGATCTTTTTTTTTGGACTAAAAGCGTGTTTCTAATGCTAAAAAAAAGTTACGTAAAACGCAGTATAGTACTGTGTTTTATTTTTTTAAAAAAAGTTTTTTACTAATTCGCAGTACTATACTGCGTTTTACTTAAAAGCAATACAGCACATTTGTTTTTTTTTTGTAAAACGCAGTATAATAATGCGTTTTACCTTAAACGTACTATTATATTGCGTTTTACTCTGATTTTTGGCCCCACCAATTAACTGACATAACAATAATTTAAATACATAAAACGTAGTATTGTACTGCCTTTTACATAGAAAAATTCTACACCCCAAGCTCGGACTTGCCTTATTTAAAGGCATTTCAATTTTATGAAAATTCATTCAATACTTTACTTCAAACTTACGTTCATATTTCTCTCTTCTTCTTATCAATCATTTTTTAACAATGTCTCAAGTGCCAAAAATAAGGGTTTCACTATATTGGGGGAGTGAGGTTGTGCTAGAAAATAACTCTGTGAGGTATAGTTCACCTCCACAGTGTCATGTTAAATTGTCGCTTACTATGGAGTACGATAAATTGGTATCGTTGTTACGTACAAAAATGAGTGATAGGAGGTGTTCGGTTAACCTTAAAGTAACCGGCAGATTTCTGTATTCAGTGACTCCGTAGGGGTTTGCTTATTATTCTGAGTTTAACATCGAGGATGATAAAATTCTTAGAGATTTTTTGCGAATTCCGGATTAATACAGGGAATTTATTGTAATAAAATTATTGGAAATGTACGTCAAGATGGAAGACGTTCCCAATAATGAGGGCGTCATAGTAGGGATAACCCCCAGTCATCGGGTGGTTATTCTGGAGCAGTTTTTGCCGGACAGATTGCTGATGAAAGAGCTTGTCTTGATTTAAACTTGTCACCACCGGCGAATAAGCAGCCACAAAATAATTTTTCGACTTTATATAATCAACAAGACGACTGGTAAACTTCAATTTTACTACGCTTTAGCGATGTTAATTTTATGTTTTAATTGGATTTGTATTAACACTCATATTTTTCATAGGGGGTACCGTCCGGATATGAATTTTGCAAGTTATGACCCCGCCCCTAGTTGGAATATGTGTAGTTCTGGAATATTGGACCACGGTGGTCCATCCGGGAGTCATCACCAACAAGAAAATATTCATCATGAAACGTCAAGACAGTACGACTTGTAAGTAAAGTGATATAGTTATATCTAAAGTATTTATCTAGTTGGGTAACTTATCATTTTGTTCTTTTTGTGCAGTGAAAACGAGCT